CTTCCTCAGAAGGTTGGAAATAGAAATACCTTATGATCCAGCAATCCCTCTACTTGGTATTTACCCACAAGAAATATGAGCCACAATCCGAGAAGATATATGCACACCAATGTTCTAATTGAGTTTTGATCATCCAGTCATTGAAGCCAGGATAAGTGGGTATTATCTGCAAGTGTGGGTGTTCTTATGCATATGCCCTCTCTTCTTACCAGCTGGATATTTCACTCTCTACTCTAGTCTTCTGTGGCTATGTCACTGATTCTGGGCCCAGGAGTCCCCAGGTCTTGCCACACTGCTGGACAACCAGGTCTTCACCCGGGTTCACAGAAGTCTATTGGACATGGTAGGGCTTAGCTTGCTGCTTCATTCCTGTTTTTCCCTCACTTCCCCTTATGGGTGACGAACGTGGTCACCAATCAAAGCGCATGTCTGTTCATGTATTCCCATTGAGTCTTAGTCTTGGAAGGGAGTTTGTCCTGAGGGGACCCGACCACTTGCCTTGAAGTCTCCTGGACGAGCACCTTGCTTGTTCTTGTGATAATTAGTCGGACAGCTGTTATTGTTTTGTATTTTTCCTGTCGGTCTTTCCTTCAGGAAGTATCTTCTGTTCTTCTTTCTGCTCCAGGCTACTCTGCTTGTCCTTTCAAGTGGAAATTTCCCACCTCAGAAGATTCTGGATGGGGTTCAGAATTCCACTTATGGTCTTATGTGTTGCAGAGGCTCCGCAGGAAGCCTCCTTCACTGGGCACGTTGTAGCCCCGTTTTGGGTATTCCAATCAGTTATAGGCAGAAAGAAGATAGACTTACAAGCTTTCTGTAGTGATATTTCTGGTATAGCACCCATTTTTGATAGCCAATGTCTACGTTGCCTACCCCTATCAACTTTGTGTACTGAGGGGATAAGCTTGATCCTTGTTGTGAAGACTCCTTCCCTCTCGGTTGGAATTTAGAGCAACTACATCCATAAGTGAGGGTCGAGTTCATCAAATTGTAGCAGTTTACACTTGCTTCCTGTATCAAACTTATTTATCTTCCTCTAGTGGATTTCTGATCACCAAGCCATTCAGGCTAGGTCAAATGGGTAATATTTCATTATTTGTTTATTCCTTTTTTCCAGAAATGTTTTGAAGCTCCCTCATTTAGTGTGTTTAGTGTAGCAATGTGTGTGATTTACTTATGTTAGCGTTCTTAGATGTTCATTTGAAAACAGTGTTATGATTTATAAAGATACTGACAGTAAAAGGGATTAATAATGAAAACCAAAAAAAATGAGGCACATGACACCTCCAGATAGACTCCCGTCATAAGTCAGGGACTGATGGGTATGAGTTGGGTGAATATGTAAATATGGAGGCGTCACAAAAGTTCATGGAAACATGGCATGATACAGTAATGGAAGTTTTCCACAAACAGTTGGAAACCTCATTGTATGTTACTAGGAACAGAATTTCACATTCTTAAAAGTGTTCCTGACTCTACCAGGGATAAATAATATATTCCAGGTTCTCTTACTCAGATGTGAAATGCCTGAAAAGCAATAATTTGCTATCTGTTAATTATGTTCATTAATCGGAGAGGATCCAGAATATTAATTATCTGCAGCTAATTAGATCTTGAAACCAAGAAGCATGGAGTGATGAATTAAGGGCTGCGTGAGCCCTCCTGTTGACAGGAGGGTGGAGGGGGGGGTCTCCATGAGGTGGGGCCAGTGCTTCTCTCCACACACGTCTCCCCTTGTGATGGACGTTACCCCGTAGTTAATCCTCCCTGTCTGTCTCTCTGTAGACGAGGACGTAGACACTGGGGATGTCTCCCCTTGTGGTGGATGTTACCCTGTGGTTAATCCTCCCTGTCTATCTCTCTCTCTCTCTCTCTCTAGATGAGGACGTAGACACTGGGTATGTCGCCCCTTGTGGTGGACGTTACCCTATGGGTAATTCTCCCCATCTCTCTCTCTGTAGACGAGGACGTAGACACTGGGGATGTCTCCCCTTGTGGTGG